GTGTTAAGCATTTTTGTGGTTAAGAATTAATAAATAGAAGCACATAATAGAGTGGAAGAGACATAATGGGACTAAAGTAAAACACAATTAGGAAAAGAAGAGGGAAATTTGAGTTCAAGAAGCACCCCTACAGATGGACATTCCGGCACTTCTGTTCAAGCCTCAAGGGCTCTAATGGACACTTAGAGTGAGTTTTCCAATGAGAACATAATAGATCCGTGGGAGTATGGCGTTTTATCAGGCTGAATGTGCTGGAATTGGAGGTGTCTACGATACCGATAGCTCTTTGCTTGATTGAGAGGAGGCATACTGCTGACATAATAATAAAATAATATTAATGAAACCAGAAGGGTGCTGATTTGAACAGACCTGAGTTGCACATCCATCCAACCCATTCTGCCAAGAAGCAGGAAAATTGCATTCAGAGCACCCCCGACAGATGGCCATCCAGCCTCTGCTTCCAAGCCTCCAAAGAAGGAGTCTCCACTAGACTCTGGAGCAGAGAGTTCTACTGCTGAACATAATAATAATAATAATAATAATAATAATAGAATGATAGAATCCTAGAGTTGGACGAGACCTGGAGGGCCATCGTCCAGTCCAACCCCATTCTGTCAAGAAGCAGGAAAATTGCATTTAGAGCACCCCTGACAGATGGTCATCCAGTCTGCTGCCAAGCCCCCAAAGAAGGAGTGTCCACTGGACTCTGGAGCAGTGAGTTCCACTGCTGAACATAATAATAATAGTAATAATAATAATAAATAGAATGATGGAATCCTAGAGTTGGAAAAGACCTGGTTGGCCATCATCCAGTCCAACCCCAAGAAGCAGGAAAAATGCATTCAGAGCACCCCCGACAGATGACCATCCAGCCTCTGCTTCCAAGCCTCCAAAGGAGTCTCCACTGGACTCTGGATCAGTGAGTTCCACTTCTGAACATAATAATAATAATAATAATAGCATCCTAGAGTTGGAAAAGACCTGGTGGGCCATCATCCAGTCCAACCCCATTCTGCCAAGAAGCAGGAAAATAGCATTCAAAGCACCCCCGTCAGATGGCCATCCAGCTTCTGCTTCCAAGCCTCCAAAGAGGAGTCTCCACTGGACTCTGGAGCAGTGAGTTCCACTGCTGAACATAATAATAATAATTAATAATAATAATAATAATAATAGAATGATAATATCCTAGAGTTAGAAGAGACCTGGTGGGCCACCGTCCAGTCCAACCCCATTCTGCCAAGAAGCAGGCAAAATGCATTCAAAGCACCCCCGACAGATGGCCATCCAGCTTCTGTTTCAAAGCTTCCAAAGAAGGAGCCTCCACCACACTCCGGGGCAAAGAGTTCCACTGCTGAACAGTTCTCCCAGTCAGGAAGTTCTTCCTAATGTTCAGGTGGAATCTCCTCTTGTAGTTTGAAGCCATTGATCCATTGCGTCCTAGTCTCCAGGGAATTAGAAGACAAGCTTGCTCCCTCCTCCCTGTGGCTTCCTCTCACATACTTGTATACATGGCTATCACATCTCCTCTCAGCCTTCTCTTCTTCAGGCTAAACATGCCTAGCTCCTTAAGCCGCTCCTCCTAGGGCTTGTTCTCCAGACCCTTGATCATTTTAGTCGCCCTCCTCTGGACACATTCCAATATCTCTCTTGAATTGTGGTGCCCAGAATTGGACACAATATTCCAAGTGTTCCAGAGCTTGGCCCGGAGGACCAGCACTGTTAAGGCGAGTGTTTTGCTCCACATCTAGACCTGTGGCAGGTCTCTGCAACCAAGGCCCCATCTGATGGTTGCAGGGAGGGATGATGGGGTCCCAGGCAAGGAGATCCAGTTGAATGAGATGCCAGTGTCGTGCTTTCTTTAACTTGACTCTTGCAACTGGTTGCATTTGTATTGCCGAAGCTTTGAAGTACCAACAATCAGGCACATCTAATCACCTCTCAACAAAAGATTGCCTCAGGCACTGCCAGGCCATCAAATGCTAATCAAGGTGGTCAGTTGAAACATTCACACCCAGCTCCAGCAGACAAGAGTCCTTTGTCCCACCCTGGTCATTTCACAGATATATAAACCCTTTCCCTTAGTTCCAACAGACCTCGCTACCTCTGAGGATGCTTGCCATAGATGCAGGCGAAACATCAGGAGAAAATGCCTCTAGAACATGGCCATATAGCCCGCAAAAACGTACAACAACCCAGTGACTYCAGCYATGAAATCCTTCAACAATACAGTACTCCATATTCTTATGGCTTTAAACTTTGTGTATGTGGGGAACARGGTGTCGAATACAAGTCTGCCTTTTCAGCAGGCATGTGCAATCTATGGTTCSAAATGGTTCTAAAGTACTTACAAAACTAAAGTTCTGGTGGTGAAAACTAGGGGGCGCTGGTGCTTTGCTTCTACAGTGTTGCTAAAGTTCTRGTGGTGAAAATTTCAGAACTCTAACAAAACTTTCAAAATTTCAATATTGACGATTTTTATGAYAGAACCAATTAGGAACTGCCATTTATAATGAAAGTTTYGTTAGAGTGGGTTGTAGGTTTTTCCRGGCTATATGGCCATGTTCTAGAGGCATTTTCTCCTGATGTTTTGCCTGCATCTATGGCAAGCATCCTCAGAGGGAGTGAGGTCTGTTGGAAACTAGGAAAATGGGTTTATATATCTGTGGAATGACCAGGGTGGGACAAAGAACTCTTCTCTGCTGGAGCTAGGTGTGAATGTTTCAACTGACCACCTTGATTTGCATATAATGGCTTGGAACTGACCACCTTGATTTGCATATAATGGTTTCAACTGASCACCTTGATTTGCATATAATGGCTTGGAAGTGCCTGGGGGGAATCTTTTGTTAAGAGTTCTGAAATTTTCACCACCAGAAATTTAGTTTTGTACGTACTTTAGAACCATGTAGAAGCATGGAATGCACATGGCTACTTTTCAGCCCCTTGTGGATGTGGGATCCCCTGGGAATTTGTTCCCATCTGGTGGGTTGCAACACCTCCTTCCTCCCACGTTGCTTTTACAGAAAAGGACACGCGTTTCCCTCTCAAATCTCCTTCATCGTGTGGATAAATCGCATTTAGCACCGGGAATGTGGCGCAGCTGGCTAAGTGTCAGCTGCATTAAGATCACTGACCAAAAGGTCATGAGTTCGAAGCCAGCCCGGGCTGGAGTGGGTGTCCAGCCAATTGTGTGTAGCCTGTTGTCGACCTTTGCAACCCGAAAGACAGTTGCATCTGTCGAGTAGGAAAATAAGGTACCACCTTGTGTGGGAGGCTAAATTAACTAATTTATGAGGCCATAAAGAAAGCTCTGGGATGTGGAATGCGGAAGAACTTCATCGGTGTCGCTGGTGGACGATGAAAGCAGCAACTCCCCTGGCAGCCAGAAAAAAAGTTAAATAGCCTCGGTGTATTGTCTGTATTCGTTGTCTGTGAAACTGGCATTGAATGTTTGCCATATATGTGTATATTGTAATCCACCCAGAGTCCCTTGCGGGGTGAGAAGGGCGGAATATAAAAACTGTAAGTAAGTAAGCAAGTAAATACATACATACATAAATTTGGCCTTGTTCCCAGTCAGCCTGAGCTGCCTGCTAATGTCATAGTTGTAAAGATCCCAGGAAGGGAAGGGATGGTGTTTTTCAAACCCAGCCACAAACCCCACGGCACCTTTCTGCTTCGGGAGAGAAGAGCAGCCAAAGCCTTTTTATTTGTGCGATGTTGTGACAGCTGAGCAAAACCGGAAGGGCAATAAATACGGACAGGGAAGCAAAAGCGGAGAGCACAGAGGACCACGTCCCTCCTTCCTCCTCTTACTCAGTCATGGCTGTGATCACGGCACGGGTGAAGTCATGCGAAGTGGAGTAGCCACCCATGTCGGGGGTCCGCACCTGCAAAGAAGGCAGGGAGGATTAACGTGGTGACATTCAAGGTGGAATTACCGTATGTTGAAACGCTTCTGTTGTATAGCTTATAACTTGAGATGGCTAAAATGAATCTCAGTCCTTCTGACTGTGTTGTGCCCAAAGCAGCGCCAGGA